CATTTGCCAGAGCAGGTTTCTGTAGACACAGAATGTTAATTATAGCCCTGAGGTCATCACCTGTGAATTGGTCCCCAGTAACCCATGCTTGTCGTAAGAGGCGACTAACGGGATCAGGGGGTCAGACTTGCTGGCTTGGTTGACACATGTCATCGTATCCCAAGTGTGTAAATAGATGCTCGTGCTGTTGATCACTGGGTTGTCTGGTCCAGACTGGGATATTTACAGACCACCACCATATAACTGTACTATAACACAACAAACCAACCAGCCAACCTCTATATGTCGGCAAGTCCAGGATCGATAAGTGAGGTATCAGGTTGTGAGAAATCGAACTCGAACCGGCACACCCATAGATCTTCACTTCTGTGGGTCCGATATAAGGCGTGTGAACGAACGTCATTCCAACGTCAATACATCATAACCCATTTGGAGATGTAGATGGAGTCTGTAATTACGTGGAGTTGTAGGTACTCTGACTGCCAGAACGCCACTGATTATTGCCCTTGAAAGGGTCACGTGACAGTCCTACAGAGAAAACACACTGGTTTCACGCCGCTTTTAGCAATATGCTACCAATGTCATCACAGGGCACACCAGAAATTGGCTTCACACATTTACCCATATGGGGATTGGAACCGGTTTTCAGCGTGACGAGCTGACGCTTTGACCATTAGGCTACCCCACCGCCCCTGGCATAAATATTTGGGTCGTTTACGTCAATGTGATGGTTCACCTCTTATTATCCCAGACGCTCGTATAACGACGCATTTTGTTTTGAGTCATGACATTAACCCCTCTACCCCTTAACCCCTCCCGACATGAGATTAACCCCTCTACCCGACATGAGATTAACCCTCTACCCGACATGAGATTAACCCCCTCTACCCGACATGAGATTAACCCTCTACCCGACATGAGATTAACCCCCTCTACCGACGACATGAGATTAACCCCTCTACCCGACATGAGATTAACCCCTCTACCCGACATGAGATTAACCCCCTCTACCCGACATGAGATTAACCCCCCTCTAACCCGACATGAGATTAACCCTCTACATGACCGACATGAGACATTAACCCCTACCCGACATGAGATTAACCCCTCTACCCGACATGAGATTAACCCCCTCTACCCGACATGAGATTAACCCCCTCTACCCGACATGACATTAACCCCTCCCCTCTACCCGACATGAGATTAACCCCTCTACCCGACATGATGATTAACCCCTCTACCCGACATGAGATTAACCCCTCTACCCGACATGAGATTAACCCCCTCTACCCGACATGACATTAACCCCTCTACCCGACATGAGATTAACCCCCTCTACCCGACATGAGATTACCCGACCCTCTATGACATGAGATTAACCCGACCCCTCTACCCGACATGAGATTAACCCCCTCTACCCGACATGACATTAACCCCTCTACCCGACATGACGACCCCCTCTACCCGACATGACATTAACCCCCTCTACCCGACATTAGATTAACCCCCTTTACGCGACATGAGTATGTTCATGCCAAGTTAAACCTCCTTTGTCCTGCACTATGACACTCTTCCACAAAGGGAACCCACACTGTTAACTGTGAAATGTTTTACTGAGGGGCTTGAGGGGAAATGGCCACCATGTGCAGCTGTTTGACTTGTTCACTAAGTCTACGAATTCTGTCTTCGTTTCTCTCCTGTATTCACCGTTATCAACACATTCAAAGGCTAGTCCATCCGGAACGATATGCGTTAACGGGTGGTACAAGTCACAATAGGGAATGCAACGCACATCATTTTGGTCACCGATGTGTAAACAAATTTGAAATGTCTTCCACACGTCCATCATAAAACTTTATGAAAGTTTTACTGTAGCCTTGAAAGTTGTAACTTTCTTCAAATAAATAAACATATAATGTGCTTATTTTGTCCCACAAACGTTGTGAAATGCAAAAAAGAGGTGGCTGTCGGGTGGCATGTGAAATAATTCCCTTATACATCCCCTATCTTTAAGTAACACAGTATCACACTAGAAATAGGTTGTTTTTAGAATGGTCTATTGGTGCCTTTTGGTGACGCTTATCTAATATCAATATTAACACTCACAACCTCCGATCAGTAAGGGATTTCCTATGTGTTTACACATACAGCGACAGGCCTGGTTGATGCATGTACCGTGTGTCCGTGTTACGGTAGGACATAATCACATGGAACACCATTAGCAGTGGTACACACAGACCACGTTATAGTGACATTGTTTTGGTTGTACCATGAGTTCATTGAGACATGTATATTGGTCCATATCACCAGACCCGTTAGCATTGATCTTCAGTAACCCATGCCTGTCTTAAGAGGCAACGATGGGATTGGGTGGTCGGTTTCGCTGACTTGGTTGACACTTGTCATCGAATCCCATTTGCGTAGATCGATGTTCATGCTGTTGATCACTAGATTGTCTAGTCCAGACTCGATTTACAGACCGCCGCCATATAGCTGGAATATTGCTGAGTGCGGCGTCAAACTAAACTTACTCACTCCATTTTGGTAAGTTGATGTGTAAATTGTACTGCGAAGGTACTCAGTCAAGAAACGTTTAATGCAGCATGACCCGTATGCCGGTAAATTATAAAAATAATAATACTAGTCTATCCCTCATTGCCATACTACCCTTGAAGATCGGAGGTAGAATTCATCTTCAGCAACCAATGCTTGTAGTAAGCAACCGATGCTAAGTATCAGGTTTGGCGTAGGTGGGCCTGTCAGATACCTGTTTCAAACATTTTTATTTATTTATTTTTTTTTATAATCGTCTAAACAATCAGATTCAAACATTTTCCAAATGCAAACGTAGAATTACTTTTGAGATAATTACATTTGCAGAATATGACATAGCAAAAGTGGAACCTTACATGTTATCCGGACTTCTTATCTGTACTGAGAAGAACATAAAATGTGTTGCATTCAACTTGCTGCTGAGACGTTGAACAAGGTTGTCCAATGAGATGACTAGGCCCAAAACACGCCGTGGTTGTCGCCAACAGCAGGAAGGTGAAACTGAAACCGTTCACATGAATCAGAGTATAAAGTTATTAAGAAAACCATCAGTCGAGCGGCGGCCGTGAAGTACACAGCAAGACGGACCAGTTCAAGTAGGTCTATTTAATCAGCTGTTTTTGACTGTAAAATGACTTTTATGACAATTAAAACACGAATTCCCCACATGGGTACAATGTGTGAAGCCCATTTATGGTGTCTCCCGCTGTTGTATTACGGCGTAAAACCATACTCACTCACTATTCCCGCCGTGATATTACTGGATTATTGCTCTCATAATAGCAGTTCAATATCTGTCATACTGGATATATATTGCATTTATAAAAATGGCGTTTTCAGGTAACTATGGCGTTGTGTTTCTTCATCATGCTGCTCTGTATGGCTGATCCAACGCAAGGTAGGAAAGAAAATAATCAAAAACACGCGATCATTTGTTCTCCCTCCTACATTTGTCAACGTGAAAAAGCAATTATGTATTAGAAAAGTATAATACTTTATGGATAACAACTTCTTTATTGATAAATAAAGAAGTTGTTATCCATAACGTATGATACTTTTCTATTATTCATCAACATCTAAAATGCCAATCCAGCAATCATGTCCCCATTTGGGACAAAACAATCCTTTATGAAGCCCATTATGATGCTGTATCATACCGTGTATTGCTATAACGTTGTTGGAAAAACGGCGTCAAACTTTTCTTTAAGTCAGTCAGTGTGACTATCCAAAGTCCTGCTTTCACGAGTGTGTTAAGCGCACCCTGTCTGTCCGCCCAGACGTCAGGCAGTAACTTTCGTCATGTCTGAAACAACCTGGACATTACTTTCACTTGCTAAAGCCCTGTTGACTTGCACGATGTGTATGTTTTGTTTGCGTGGCATTCTCGAAGTTGGCGTTATAGAGATGACAACACTTTATGGATGATCAACTTCTCTGTTTTGACAATGGCGACGTTTCGATATAGATTCTTATGAGATGCTTGAAAACGGTATAAGAATCTGTACCGAAACGTCGCCATTGTCAAAACAGAGAAGTTGATCATCCATACGGTTTTGTCATCTCGATGTATATGCTGCTTGTAGATCTGATATACCTTCCAGTACAATGTGGATGTTGTGACTGAAGGCCTTTTTGTGTGAGCCATATATAGGAACATTTTGAAAATGACTTTGCCTAGTTAAGGTTGCACTACACAATACATGATTGCATTATTATGGTCAAAAACTCAGGAGGTACCATCATGACACATGCTTAAGGAAATAGTTTAATTTATGGACAAAATAAAAACATTAGTAAGTGATAACTAAAATAAATAAATCAACAGTTGTTTATCAAGTTGGTATAAAATGTTAAGGTATGTTTTTAGGCTTTTTAAACATAACGTAACTTGGCGAACGTACATCAAAGTAGTTTCTAGGGTAAATAATTATTTACAATTCCGAATCACAATATCTCTCTTCTGAAATATCCACGTAGATTATAACAGATTAGTTACCGTTTGTTGATAATGGTTTAGAATAATAGAAGTTGTCATCCACTAAGTCGTGTGCTTCATTACTGACTCGCCAGCGCATCTAAGACCGATCAAAACAATCTCGAAATATTGCAAAATTTATAATTTACAAAAGATTTCCTGTCCCATCACTTGATTGTCTGGTTATCCGGCCGCCGCTATTTGTACTGCTGTAGCATCAGGATGTAAATACTTAGTTTGGTGTGAACTGCGGGTGCTACTGGTAGAACATGTTTACCCTTTACGTGAACACCTGGTGTCATCACTGATTATCAGTTTGTCTCTTTTGGGGCAAATCAGGGAGATTGTCAACGTGAGAAAAGGAGGAAAGGAAACACCAATCCTTTTATGATTCTTGAGGACAAAAATTAAAATTAAAACCACATGTTTTTTACTTGACAGGAGCTGGATGTATGGAGGGACAGCATTGCTCTGACTGCGACACGGAGGGCAGTTGTTTGCATGGTTGTAACAAGGGCTATTTTGGAATGAAATGCAAGTCGCAATGCAGCAGTAAATGCAGATACAATACGTGTAAACTAGACCCGGGAACAGGTGCAGGCAAGTGTACTGATGGATGTGAGCCAGGATACCAAGGCATAATTTGTGACAGACCATGTGACAGTCACGTGGTCAACTGTACACTGTGTCCAGGTGAATGTGACGGGGAGTACTGTCAGCTGGGTGATGCTTGTTTTGTCGGATGTCGAGATTCCAAGTACGGATCAGGATGCAAGACGTGCCCCAGTAGCTGCAGAACCTGCAACAGGATGACAGGAGTATGTGACGAGTGTGACCCGACACATTATGGAGTCAACTGTGAGAAGACGTGTGAGAACTGTGCAGGATCCTGTGAGTCTGACTGTGAATGTGTTCCTGGCTTCTACGGGGACTTCTGTGCCGAGACTTGCAGTAAAACATGCCGCCCCAAGTCAGCCCACAAGTGTCTTCCTGCTGTGACGTCAGACAGCTGTACAGGTGAATGTCACAAACACAGCGCCACGTGTCTCCATGGCTGTGTGGATGGCTGGTTCGGCCCGAGGTGTTCTTCTCCGTGTAATCTTGGATGTCGCCATCAAAGATGTAATGCAGCAGGTTCTTGTGCTGAAGGCTGTGAACTTCATCATTTCGGGTCAGCCTGTGAACCTTGTTCTGAGAACTGCGCCAACCGAACATGTGATCAGAACACTGGTGCCTGTGTGACGGATTGCAGCGAGGAAGGAAGTGAGCCTAACTGTACACAGACCTGCTCAACTCCAGGATGCTCTACAGACCATCGTAACGCATGTGAGTTATTCTTGAACCATAAATACTTGTTCTTAGAAAAATGTGACTAAACCTTTCCCATATCCATAAGGTGTCTGCTAAACTCACAGTCGACTGAATATTTCCACATGAAGAGCACGTGTTTATGTTGAAATGTTACCCCAAATTTTAGGCGCAATGAGGAAGTCACCATGAACGTGAAAGTCCAACATGTTACATGTTTACTCAGAAATCTCCAGATGACATTTGCTTTTTATTTTCGATAAATTTTCTTGAACCTCTGAAGATATATACTAAACTGCAAAAGAAACGAAAGTTTCGAAAAGATTAAATCTCATGAAGGTGAACATTCATATTTATGGAACGTCCATGGTAAAGTGACGTATTGATTCCAGATGAGATGATGTCATGCAGTTTGACGTCCATACGAAACATTCGCACAAACACAACCACAGTGCGTAATGTTAGCATGTGCATTGACAGTTCTGGATCGAAAGCATGCATTTCACTCTGAAATGTTTCTGAGGTATCCCTTATAAAGGTTTGTGTCAAAAAGAGTTCAATATCGACGCTAGGAGGTGTACACGCCCAACATGCAATGCCTAGACTAACGACTGATCAGAGAGGAATGGCCATTGGAATGTTGCGAGGAGGTTTCTCTGCAACCGCTGTAGCTAGACAATTGGGCTGTCATCTTAACGCGATTACACGACATGCTCGACGTCATCAGCAAACCGGGGCTGTTGCTGATCGCCCCCGTACCGGACGGTCAGGAGTGACAACTCATCCGCATGATCGGTTCATCAGGGTCACTCATCTAAGGAACCGAACTGCAACAGCAGCCTTAGTTCATGGGTCAAGGGGAGCAGTGTCCAGCGATACGATTACGGGCTGCAGAAATCTACTGTCGACAGCCATATGTGGGGCTAATTTTGACACCGTCATCGACATTACAGTGGCCCAGCAACATCAACGTTGGCAACGTGTGCAGTGGCGTCAAGTTGTCTTTTCAGACGAGTCTCGATACCATCTTTCAATTGCTGACGGCCGTTTACGTGTTTGGCGTCGGCGCACTAAGCAAACATCAGGCAAACAGATGGAGTGTAATGGTCTGGGAAACATATATTTACAACCACAGGTCCCCAAGCTTCATGTCTTCCGGCAACGTGTAACGTGTATCTGTTCGTCAGCCACATGGGATCAGGTTCTTCAGCCTCAATTACAGTTCTGTCATTAGAACAACGCACACAGCGAGGGTGTCGATGGGTTATCTGTCAGGACAACATTAACGTTCTACCATGGCCGTCTCGCTCCCATTGAACATTTCTTGGACGAAATTGGGCGTAGGATTGCTGCAAGTAGGCAGCCACTCACACTTGCACAGATAGAACAGAGACTGGTGTTCGAGTGGATCACTTGCCTCAGGCATTCTTTCAGACTCTGGTGAACTCAATGAGGCGACGTGACACGGCCTGTGTAAAAGCCCAAGACTGTCACTTTTCGCGTTCTCCATTTGACGGACTGTGATCAGTTTCAGCTTAATGCAATACAATGTCAACAGCAACTTTCAGTTGTTAAATTAACAGCGTTATCTCTTGAGTAGGTGATTAGAATAGTTTTGATTTTCTTCTATTTAAAGACTTGACAAAAAACAGTATATGTGTTAATACATACTACTTGCATGCCATCGTCTAATGCAAAAAGATAGTAACATGTTCACAGGATAATATCGAATTTTGTATGATTTGACACCAGGCGTCGTGACACACCCTCGAAAAGATGCGGCGTCAAAAGTTCAGTATCATGTTTGTCCACCATTGGTTTTGATGCAGGCTTGACACCGACGATTAATAGGCGATCCTGAGCGATTGAAGATTGGGGAATGTTGTTCCATGTCTGAATCAATGCTGTCCCAATTCAGCTGATGTCAGAGGCTGATTCTGAGCTTGATGTAAACGTCACTCCGTTTCATCACAAGCGTGCTCGATAGGGGACAGGCCCGAAGAACAGCTATCCGGGGGAGTACCGGAATGTTCTACTGTCTCCGGAAATCTGTCACTACACGAGCGACACGTGGACGGGCATTGTCTTGATGAAGTTACGTCTCTGTCCTTAAATGAACGGCTGCACATGAGACCCAATGATATCATTCCTGTATCTCAGACCTGCCTGATTGCCACTGACAATCACAAAGTCGTGTCCGGCAATGAGGTGTGATATCTCCCCATACAATAACGTTGTTGCCACCAAATAATCGACGTTGAACAACGCACGCGTCAGCGTACCGTTCACCTCGCCGTCTGCAGTCCCTTGCCCTGCTATCTGAGCTGTCCAGATGAAATCTTGACTCGTCAGTAAACAAAACACCATCCAAATTGGACGTCTAACAGGCCGTAGATGCGGTCTGCAAGGCAACACGTGCCTGACGACTCTGGAACAAAGGACGTCTAACGGGCCGTCAGGATGCTGCTGCGCTCCCTCAGTCGTTTCCTTACGATTCTGGAACTGTTTGGTGGTAAGCCACGAATAGTCCGAGGAGTCTGCAATCGATTCCATGGATGGATCAACCGAATGTGGTTGTCTTGCTGATATGACGTCACTCATGGACGGCCGGTCCGAGGCATATCTTTCGTGTTCCCATTACGATGAAAACGTCTCTATAGAGATGAGATCGGCTGTCGATGGCCATCGAAATGTCTGGCCGCTAAGCTTCTTTTGGGGCCATTCCAGTCTCCAGCGGAGACGCTGGTTTTCTGTGAACCGTGGCATGAAGTACAGGCAGTTCAGCATTCAGAGTCTAGACAATAATAAACCTTTCTTCAATGTTCAATATCAGATGTGTGAACGTCAGCTGTCAAAAAGCTTACAAAAGGTGATATATCTTGACATGGACATAGGAATCTACACCGAAACAGTTCATCATTATCAGCATACACACAAGCTCCACCCACATTTTGAACGTGAAAGTAGGAAAACAAGTTCTTGTATGGGTATTAACCGGGAAAAGTGATACATAGTTTACTCTGACTAAAACAAAGACAAGACAGAAATTGAAATTTGGTAACACTTTACTTGCAATCTTAGAGGAATACACAAAAAACATGACATTTTCACTTCTAAAATATCCTTCTAAAGGGATGAATTTTGTGAGGTACACAAGTACAGTAGGGGAACTTCATTTGTTTATATGTTTCTAGAAAGCCACCATGACTAATGATAATAATCATTTCTTGTAACCAGAGGGACACAGATTAATAGTTAACTGTAAGTGATAAACTACATGCCACCAAGATAAAACTACTATTGTCATGTTGAGGGTGCCAATGGACGAATGTCGTGTTACTTTGTGGCTGCCCCATACCAACCTTGTGTTGTTGTGGTAAAGGTGAGTAAGTGTGTGAGTTTAGTTTTACGCCGCTTTTAACAATACCCCAGCAATATCACGACGGGGAACACCTGAAATTGGCTTCACACATTGTACCCATGTGGGGAATCGAACCCGGATCTTCGGCGTGACGAGGTGAACACGTTAACCACAAGGCTGCCCCAACACCCCTGTGGTAACAGATGGTAACAGATGGTAACAGATTGTAACAGATGGTAACAGGATGCATGGTGGGGGTTGTTTTCAGAAGATACACCTAAATAAAATACGACATAGAGCTTAGTATAAACTTCTATGAAGCCTTCTGTAGAGAAGATGTGTGATATTACAATAATAGGGCGTGACTGTGAAGATATGGAGAAGGATTTGTCTTTTTTATTTAATAATAATCACGATCAAATCGTGATGGTTCCTTGCAAGGTGAGAAATTATTCGTTGACCCCAGACTAGTGTTCATGTATGTTTTGTTTTATCAGCTCTGCAGGAGATGCCACATACGAGTTCAGCCACCCTGATATGGGTTGTGTGTGCAGCAGTCCTGTTCGCCCTGGTTGCAAGTTCCGTATGCTGTGTCTGTTTTCACAAAGGCCCGTGTGTACAAAGGTAAGTGTGTGCTTATCAGGGGTTAATAGTGACAATACGAGATATGCAGGGCTTCCCGACTGATGACAGATATTGCTTGCACTTTGAAGGTTATGGTCTTTAGCAGTGAACGGATACATGTTTGTACATTGCCTGGATTAAATCAAAGTAGTAAATCTAATTCGTCGCAGTAGCTTGATCATCAGCAGAGCCACGTACAGGTCAGCTGCGTGTAAATGCTTCCGTTAAAATATACGTAGAATTCATTTACTCACCATTTTCTAGAATGCCGTTCATGTTCAAATGATTTGCTTCAGGGAATAATCTGTATTGTAAATGTTTCAGAAATGGTGTTTATGGTCTGTCGTTGATGTGTTTCAGAGATATGACAGAAGCCAACAGAGGTGGTGTCCAAATACGTCTAGGTGCACCAAGGATCTCTACACATGATTACTGCGATGTCGACAAGGGTGAAGATGGTCCAGTAATTGTGTACCTGTAGTACAGGGTCCAGTTAGTAGAAAGATGGAGTACAGCATGTGACGGTGGTTATTTTTGTGTGTAATTTGTACATTTGTTAAATCAATCATTTGTTATTTCCGTCACATTGTCAATACAGATAACACGCTTGTACAGAAAGGTTGAGCCGAATATGTTTTAATAAGAAAAACGGACAAACCCTTCCGAGTATATCATGTGCAGTTGGTGTGAGTCAAATGGAGATGATACCGGGTGTTCCTGTACAAATAAAAGTATCGTGCCTCACTGGGGCAACAGTCTCAAACATTTTTTCACCTGCAAAACACGTGGCATCGGAAAATAGTTGAACACTGATGTATTAGATTTGAACATGTTCTCTATGTAAATGGGAGAATCGCCAACTTACTCTTACCAGAGGTGCACAAAGTACGTGGTCTGAACTACCGTTGCCTTGACTACCGTTGTCTGGACTACCAGTTTGTGGAAGCCACGGTAGCTCAGTGTGTCTGACTGCTGACTTTGTGTGCTAGCAATGTGGTGCCGCATTCGGATAAATCCCTGGTGGGACTCAACCCCCAAATACTAACATTTGGACGCTTTTATCCCAAGTATAACACATGTTGCATTTGTCCAGAATAAAAGAGCAGTGTGTATTCGTGGCTTTCGGCCATGGAAGCCCTCACACTTTTTAGATGGCTACGCAAGGTCCGGCATGTAGACGACAAGTCTTCTGACTTCCGCGTTTGAGCATGGGTGTCTTCGTGGGCAAGACGCTAGCCATTTTGCCCCACACATGAATGTGTTGCTTCGCATTCCTGATGGACTAATCTCAAATAAACAATATATCTGACCACTTTCAAAACGGCACTGTGTGTTCATACAAATGTTTATAATGTGTTATAATGTTGTTATTTGAAGCCTATTGCCTATCATGATAACTTTACAAATGCTCAGATGTACGTAGTTCCCATATCACTACAATGTAATTACTTAAGAATTCGTTGTCAATTACTTTACTGTTTTACACTAATAAAATATAATCTGTGCTGCTTTCTCAAACTACCTTGGGTTTTTTTGTTTGAGTTCCAAGAATTGTAACCACATAATATTTACATTGACTCTGGGATGTTTTGTTGTAAAATTTTAAGTTCACTTTCCGACAAAATCCGTGACAAAAACGCAGACTTATACATTTTTACTGTGTTTTCCGCACATATGTATTGCCATGCATGCTCTGAAAATTTAAGAAGCTGTAACCAGGGGCTGGATGTATCGATCTTTCAAACGCCCATTTTCAATACTTGATAAAGAAGTGCTTTCCTGTTTTTCACGTGGTACTTAAAGGTCACATGCAACCAAAACATCAAACATAATTAAGACACAATTATCACTTATCCATGACATAATACACATTGCTGATTATGAAAAGACATATATAGCAAGTTATAAGTGTATAACCGCAAATCAAAAGGGATGTGTGTATGTGGAGGGGGAACCCGTTATTTGTCAACTTATAAATTCAATTTACATTTTTGAAGATTTGGATTTGTAAGTCCGTACCGAAAGGTATCACAATCTGCAAAGTTGTGTTTTACGTTGCATGTGATCTTGAAGATGTGGAATGCGGTTGATTAGGGCCACCGTCATATCGCCCTAAAAAAACAAGCGAAATTGAATCCTAGTGATTACAGAACAATAAATAGCAACAAAACTACATGAAGTGGGTGTGAATGAATCCTCGTTAATGCCTAGGTCACATATCCATTTTAGCCATGAAAGATTAGCAGGTACATGGACACACCATCAGTAAAATTCTAACCATGGCATAGCTGAGATCAAATGTTGATGAACAGTAATTTTCATATTGAACGATGACAAAACTGAGATTCTCATCATCAGCTCCAAACAGACAAAATGAAAGTTCAAGATCGTTTGTTCTATGCCCGAAATCTAGGTGTCACAGTAACATCACGTCAGTAACATCTGCAAATCTGCATATTTCCACCTAAGGAACATCAGACAGATTAGCAGGTACATACACCATTCAGTGTGCCTAAGCCATGCATTTATGACATCACGTCAGACTACTGCAACAGTCTACTCTATGGAATACTGCAGAAGTCATGGACAAGTTACACCGTGTTCAAAACACAGCTGCCAGGCTCATAACACGCACACATATGTATGTGCACATAACACCAGTCCTGAAGGACTTACACTGGCTCCCTGCAAAAGACAGCGTTGTATTCAACTTCTTGTGTTTGCTTACAGGACCATGAATGGGCTAGCTCCATTCTATCTCCAGGAACTAGTCAACCTTCACAAGCCTGGAAGGTCACTCAGATCAGCTAGTCAGCAAAGCTTAGATGTTCCATCTGTCCGAACCACAACATACGGGGACAGAACATTGAGCAGAGAGGGCGCTGTACTCTGCAATGGATTACCTGAAAATGTCAGAAAATTGGAAAATATCAACAGTTTCCGATCTTGTCTCAAAACCATCCTCGTCAAATGAGCATTCGACTAAGCGCACATGAGCAGGACTCTGGATATGTAGCGCTATACAAATGTCTAATTTGATTGATTAATTCGCGAAAACACAACCTGGTCCGATAACATCTTACGAATCGTGCATTTTTCAAAACGTGAAAGACGTAATTGTGCAAATGGTCGAAATGCACGTGCATGATTGTGGGATAAATACCGATTTTGGACAGGACAAGCACGCAGTAACAACCCTACCAGCACGGATATTCCAAGACTTACCCAAGCGCAACGAGACAGGGTGATCGGTTTGGCCAATATGGAGCTTCACACCGCCAGATGGCAAGAACCTGCAAGAACTGCAGCCAGGCAACCATCAACAAACTGATAAACTGCTACCACCAAACAGGCCATAACCAAGACCACCCAAGATCGCGAAGACCAAAATTGACGACACCGGCAGAAGACCACTACATCCGGCAGATCCACCCCAAGAACAGTTTCGTGACCGTGGCGACAGCTCCTACGGCTATTCTGATGAGTTTGTGTGCTATTTGAGTTTTGGGGATGGTGTTACCAGTGCTTTTATCTCACATACTTACCACTGCATCAGTAAACGAACCCATTGTCAGTGAGTTCACACATTGTAACTGAGCAATATTGCTTTATCGCAATGACTGTTATCACTATTTCGTTAATTACTGTATGGCAATATCGGTAAGTGTCAGGCTATATGCCGTGTTATAACAATAATAACATACATGAAACAAGTCGGAGAGCCATGGTCAACCGATATTGTTTGCCGCCTCAAACGACAAACATGCATTTGTGAAGATATACTCTCATTCTGCCTACATCTTATTCAGCCTACAGACATAATAAAAGTGTAGGCAGAAGTAGAAAAGTCAGGCCACCCCTAATTTGGAAATGGACTTGCCCATGATAATAATATAACACTGTCTTGATGAATTCATATTCTACTGATAGTAGATAACATGATACACTCGATTTCTGCCACTCGGTTTACAACCATGCTCCAGTTGAATTTTCTTATTTCTGTCTGTTGATTCAATGTCCTTCAACTTACTCGAACAGGTTTGGGTGGGACTTGCCAAGGGACCTATTCAGTGTAGAGTGCCAGCCCTCCAAGTGATCGTTGGTGCATGGACCGGCTTTATCATATTGATTCCACTTGAACAAGGCATCAGATAGAAAAACTAATTAACCAGAAGAACAATAGGATTAAAGGTTGATTAGAGAAAAACCAGTCTGTTCATTATTTTTATAAAGATCATTAATAGAGAAAACTGATTAACCTGGACAAAAGGATTAAAGGTGGATTAGAAAAAAACCAGTCTGTTCACTGTTTTAAATTGATAGGTAAAAATAAGAAAACAGTAACAAAAACATAAGAATGTCGATATAAAAAGTGTGAATCAAGCTGTCTGGTTATCAACAACTCAAACGAAAAACTGAACACACACAAAAACTTTAGAGTCTTTCTTCTTCACAGAGGCTTGATGTTCTTTGATTCTTACAGGGAGGGGTCTTGAGGTTTCGCCGATGTCCGAGTCTCCACAGTCACACTTTATGTGGTAAACTGTGCCTGAAGGGTCTTTTTTAGTTGTGGGGAAGAAGAAAGACTCTAAATCTGCAATCTCTGACCACACCCAAGCTCACTCAGACCACAACATCCTATGGATCAGCGTCAATGTACTCACCAGTAATCACACCCACTACAAGATCAGAAAGCTACTAGAAGTCATTCACATCAAGAGACTACAACCGGCCATGAACAGAGACCAAGGATATTACATCCCCCCTGCCTACAACCAACTCATCACCAAGCAATCTTAATCCCATTATTCTCCTGTCTGTCATATCACTGGCTTCCTCCCTATAATCCCCTATAGCTTACTCTGTTTGTGTAACTATTGGCTTCTTGTGTAAACAACCACCAACCTTGTACATCAACCTCATTAATGATGTAAACATCATCACTTACTGTTCAACCTTACTATGTATATAAATATATCTTGCATCTAGTACTGTACATCATTTGCTTGATAACGGTGTTAGTCGCTACACCGAAACGTCGCTTATATTATATTAAAGAAGTTTCTTGTATATCCATAGAACTCTCCTTGTTGTTCAGATCATACAGCTGAAGAAAACTCTTATTTCAGGATCAGGGGAAAGTTTATCTGACTTTAGTACAAAGTGCTCAGTTATGCCCCCTTAGTTGCGTCACTGTTATCCGATTGGACAACGCTAAAAGATGCCCAGATATATCCGAACACACTATATGTTAATGTCAGTTCTTGTATGTCTGTCACACAGCGTTGAACAAGATGACCAGGTCCCACACACGTCGTGTTTGTCGTCAACAGCAGGAAGACGAAACTGAAAACGTTCACATGAATCAGAGTATAAAGTTATTAAAACAACCATCAGGCGACAGACGTGGAGCGGCGGTCTTCAGCTACACAGCAAGGCGGACTAGGGATAATGTTAAAGTAGGTGTAGTTAATCAGGCGTTGTTTAATTTAATTTAATTTCGACCTTGCTTTTCCCTGTTAATGTTTCTGGCTGGATACAGCATATTAGCCATATATATGTATACATATGTAGGTGTTCAATATTTGTCATAATGAGTATATGAGTGTATATTACGTTTTCAGGTAACAATGGCGTTGTTTGTCATCGTAGTGCTGATCTGTATGGCTGGTCCCACACAAGGTAGGAAAGACCAATGTCTGAGTTAAGGAGAAACCTTTGTTGCCCATCTGGGCCATTCAGCTAATGTTCTGCATTGTGGCATGTAAATACTTAGTTTTGGTGTGAACTGCGGGTGAGACTGGTAAAAGCAATTATGTATTGTATTTTGACAAAAGCAATTCTGTTATGATTCTTGAAGACATATTATCAAATTAAGACCACATGATTTTACTTGACAGGAGCTGGATGTAATGAGGGACAGCATTGCTCTGACTGTGACGTCAAGGGCGATTGTTTGCAGGATTGTGACAAAGGTTTCTATGGACTCAAGTGCCAGTCGCAATGCAGAGGCACGTGCAGATACAACATGTGTAAACTAGTACCAGGTAAGGGTACATACACGTGTACTCATGGCTGTGTACCTGGATACCAAGGCACAAGTTGTAACAGACCATGTGACAGTCACGTGGTCAACTGTACACTGTGTCCAGGTGGGTGTGACGGGGAGTACTGTCAGCTGGGTGATGCTTGTTTTGCCGGATGTCGAGATTCCAGGTACGGATCAGGATGCAAGACGTGTCCCAGTAGCTGCAGAACCTGCAACAGGATGACAGGAGTATGTGACGAGTGTGACCCGACACATTATGGAGTCAACTGTGAGAAGACGTGTGAGAACTGTGCAGGATCCTGTGAGTCTGACTGTGAATGTGTTCCTGGCTTCTACGGGGACTTCTGTGCCGAGACTTGCAGTAAAACATGCCACCCAAAGTCAGCCCACAAGTGTTTCCCTGCTGTGACGTCAGACAGCTGTACAGGTGAATGTCACAAACACAGCGCCACGTGTCTCCATGGCTGTGTGGATGGCTGGTTCGGCCTGATGTGTTCTTCTCCGTGTAATCCTGGATGTCGTCATCAAAGATGTAATGCCGCAGGTTCCTGTGCTGAAGGCTGTGAACTTCATCATTTCGGGTCAGCCTGCGAACCTTGTCCCGAGAACTGCGCCAACCGAACATGTGATCAGAACACTGGTGCCTGTGTGACGGGTTGCGAGGAAGGAAGTGAGCCTAACTGTACACAGACCTGCTCCACTCCAGGATGCACTACAAGCTATAGTGAGATCAGTGAGTATGCGATATACAGTTTATACACATCGAACTTAATTAGGCACCCTTTAATATATTTCATCATAATGATGATGATGATACATGTCAATGAGGAAGGTGTATAGAAGCACATTTCAGGTAATTAAAAACAAGGTTTCAGTTTGAAACTGTTTGCCAAATCGCAGCCCACATGCATGTGAAACGTGCTACCGATTGCATATCATGAAAAGCAGTACCTCTGCCCGGCCGTTCAAGAGTATAAAACTTGTGAATATGCCATCCTTCCAACAATGTTAACATGGTGAGGAGAAGACTTTCACTGCCACTCTGTCATCTGTAGATTCATCAAACTTAGATCAGCCCTACCAACAAACATGCGCTGTCAATGATCGACTAATGCCATGGGAACCAAGGAAGACTACAAAGCGGAAGATTGAAATCTGGTCGGTTACGTGAGACGTGAACCCTTCGCCACGAGCACTCGTTTGAAGCAACTCACGGTGCCCAACAGACGTTTGTCGTCTAAGACCATATGGAACCGTCTCAAGGCTCTCGGTTGGAGGTCCTGTAGGGGCATCAGGCTTCCAGCTATGAGTCATGAACATCAAAGGCAACACCTGACGTGGTGTTTTGCTCAATGCGCTGGAATCTTCGAACCAGGAGACAGATCCATTGGTAAGACGAAAGCAGATACCTGGGTCATGTTACGAATCGTCGTCTGATAACACTGAGTATGTCCAAGGAACATTGATCCTACTGTTCTCGTTGGTGAAGGCTCAGTTTTGGGATGGGAATGAGTCTCCCGTGACTAAAAGTTGACACTGGAGGCTGCGGGGAAATCACGCAATTCTCTCTCTTGTCCGACAAGGAACCCTGATGTGAACCCCATTTGAGCAGCTCTTGTACATCCTTAGTCGTCGTTGTAGGCAACGGTCCCTCTTGTACAAAATATGGGTTACTTGGAGACAGCATTGCATGCGGAGTGGTGGCAATAACCTCGGGAATGTATCCGCCGGCTCACTGGTGGCATGAGGAGAAAGCATCATCGAGACTCGTGGTGGATAGACGAGATACTTATGTTAAACAACGTCTTAGATATCAAGTAGCCCATGCAGACAGCGAGACACTATCTAATCTTGTACTGCCGTGCCAGGACAGAAGCAATTCAGTTAATTGCTTTCCATGAAATCAACCATGTTGGCATTTCTCATGTACAGGTCATACAAAATAACATTGGCTTCGCTTTGTTGTTCTTCTGTAGTCAAATATACAAACTTCCTTTAAGATTATCAGGCATTACTGTCCTTCTAGAAGTATGCAAGTCCTGAAACCTTTTCTGTTTTCATCACTGTTGTAAAACATGGGGTGTTTAGTTTGGTCCCACGTGTATATATTGATTAAAAGTATCAATGTTTCCCATTTTACTCTCACATGATGACGCATATCAACAATCAGTAATAGAAATCAGGATAGGGCGAGAAAAACCTTCCATAGCCATGGGGTCCTCGGATCAAAGTATCCCGACCCTATCAAAAGCATACGAGTCACTTTCATCTCATTGACTCGCAGTGGACTGTGGACTATGTTCATTTGTCAGTTGTCAACATGTTACTGTTCATGAGGTAGGTGTACCCTGCCGATTTTCATGTAGTTGTTGCCTCAATCGTTGAAAGTAGTTCCAAGATTAGTGTTCATGTGGTAGTTGTCCCAAGACTAGTGTTCATGTGACAGTTGTCCCCAGACAGGGGTTCATGTGACAGTTGTCCCAAGACTAGTGTTCATGTGGTAATTGTCCCAAGACTAGTGTTCATGCGACAGTTGTCCCAAGACTGCGGTTCATGTGACAGTTGTCCCAAGACTAGTGTTCATGTGGTAGTTGTCCCAAGACTAGTGTTCATGCGAAAGTTGTCCCAAGACTGCGGTTCATGTGACAGTTGTCCCAAGACAGGGGTTTATTTGATAGTTGTCCCAAGACTGCGGTTCATGTGACAGTTGTCCCAAGACTAGTGTTCATGTGGCAGTTGTCCCAAGACAGGGGTTTATGTGGTAATTGTCCCAAGACTAGTGTTCATGCGACAGTTGTCCCAAGACTGGGGTTCATGTGACAGTTGTCCCAAGACAGGGGTTTATTTGACAGTTGTCCCAAGACTGCGGTTCATGTGACAGTTGTCCCAAGACTAGTGTTCATGTGGCAGTTGTCCCAAGACTGGTGTTCGTGTGACAGTTGTCCCAAGACTGGGGTTCATGTGACAGTTGTCCCAAGACTGGTGTTCGTGTGACAGTTGTCCCAAGACTAGTGTTCATGTGGCAGTTGTCCCAAGTTAGTGAGTGAGTTTAGTTTTACGCCAGCAATATTCCAGCTACATGGCGGCAGTCTGTAAATAATCGAGTCTTGAGCAGACAATCCAGTAATCAACAACATGAGCATCGATCTGTGCAATTGGGAACCGATAACGTGTCAATCAAGTCAGCGAACCTGACCACCCGATCCCGTTAGTCGCCTCTTACGATAAGCATGGGTTACAGAATCAATATTCTAACTCGGACATTCATAGGTTGCAATTGTCCCAAGATTGTAGGCTCCTGTATCGCTTGTCCCAAGACTTATGTTCATGTGTATGTCTATTTGTCAGCTCCCCCTGGTATCATCTCAACTACACTGATCTGGGTTGTGGGTGCTGTGGTCGTTTCCGTTCTGGTTGCAAGTTCTGTATGCTGTCTGTGTTTCCGCAAAGGCCCGTGTACACAAAGGTGAGTACAGCCGCAGTTTCCTGTGTCACGGTTTGTTCAGGGGCGTTACATAGATACAAGGAGAAAATTGACACATAGTTACAGTGTTTAAATGAGTTAGTTTTAATTTTAAATCGCTTGTAATACTACAGCCATGTCAATGAGGTCATGTTAGTAATTATTTAAAATAATTATTTAAAGCAAACACATCCATATCGCAGTAGGTCATTTCCTATCAGATTATTTGGGGTAAATTCAAATCAGGCGATAAACCACAAGTATCTAAATGCTGTGCTTTGTTCACCAGACCATGTGTGTACTTTCTATATTTTTAAAACACCCTAAAATACTATCTCGGAATTAAAATACTAGGTGGATTCACGTGTCACTGTCAAGAGATAATAACTATATAGTGCTATAACCTCTGAGTGGCACTACCGCCAATACTCTAACGAGAATTCATACAATCATAATTTATCAGACAATGCAAATTATCTTAAAACAACAAGAATTAAATGAGCACAAACATTATTGAGAAAATCCCGTAAAGAATCTGAATGGTAATAAACTGACACACATTGAAAACGCAAAACCGATTTTGGCAATTTCTGAGAAAGTTTTCTGTAGCAATTTCATTTACCACACGAAAATATAGTGATGTTAGGTTGCCGAATAAAACCATATGCACATCTGGGTTCGAACCCTTTTCGTGTTTCTAGCATGGGTACAGTTCATGAAAAAACAACTCTGGCATATTCCTTGGACCTGTTGAGGTGCATGATTATCGTGACATACACATGCAAAGCCAGGTTTTGGACTCATAAAAGGCACTATGGTTCAACCGTTTCACTAGCAGTCACAAATGCCAGTAGAGGGAACAAGTTATCAGGATGCTGTTGGGGGGAACATCACAAAGTGAGGTCGCCTGCCACTTCGGAGTGAGCCAATCCACCATCAACAGACTCCAAAATCGTCATTAGCAAACTGGAAGCGTCCGTGACCGTCCCTGACCAGGACAAACTCCGATCACGACGGCACGTCCAGACCAGCACCCGATAGAACACCTGAACATGAGCTTGGTCGCCGGATTCATCAACGCCAACGTCAGCCAAACAACGTCGCTGAGTTGACCCTGGCTTTACAACAGGAGCGGCAGAACATCCCCAAAGCACCTGTTCGACGTTTGTGCGAATCCACGCCACGTCGACTCCGTGCATGTGTACAGGCTCAGGGAGGTCACACTCGCTACTGACGGACTTAAGTGGGTTCTGTGTGTGACGCTTGACGTGTCAGTCATATTGGCGGAACTGTTGTAATCATTTTTGGGGAAAATGAAGCACAATGAAATTCTCAACATAACTGTAGAACAATTTTCATCCAAGTGTTGTTGTGTGTCAGTATATATACTCCTTGTGAGAGACAAATCAACAGTCAAGGAAAATGTGGTCACAGACACTTGTAACAACTCATCATGTAACCTAATTCTGCATTCACAAACTAAAAAATCATTTGCCACTTCGGTGTCCTATCATTTTATCCCCCGCAACGCGTTTTGCGGGGAGTATTAAATTGAGCTCCGTCCGTGCGTGCGTGCGTCCGTCAGTGCACATTTGTCTTTTCCCGGAGCAGAACTCTAAAACCGTTCAATGTATCTTCACCAAACTTGGCACATAGATAGATCCGGTGGCGAACTGGTGGCGTTTGGTAGTTTTGGATTTCTGAATAAAATATTGTTTGCGTCTCCATGGCAACAAGTTTGACTTAGACTGAAATTGGTGCTGAAGTTGGTGCAACTACTCTTTTCCGGAGCAGAACTCTAAAACCGTTCAATTATTCTTCACCAACCTTGGCTCATAGATACATCTGGTGGTGAAATGTAGCCGTTTGGTATTTTTGGATTTCTGAATAAAATATTGTTAGCGTCTCCATGGCAACAAGTTTAACAAGACTGAAATAGGTGGTAGTGCTCCTGGAGCAGAACTTAAAAACTGTCCACTGTTTTATCACGAAATTTCACACATAGGTAGGTCTAGTAGTGAACTGATGCCTTTTGGTAGTAGTTTTGGATTTCTGAATAAAATGGGTTTTGGGGGTTTCCATGGCAACAATTTTTGCTCCAACTGAATTTGGTGGTTGTGCTCCTTTTCTAGAGCAGAACTTTGAAACCTTTCAGTACTCTATTTCCACTTAGCTACATACATGCCAAAACATTTGACATAATCATAGCTTGTAGACATATTCATGAAGAGTAATTTGACATTGCAGGGGATATTAATGATATTGTCTTCTTGTTTGCATTTTAACTACGGACATATTTCCTTAAAGCAATGTTTATAATGTCTGTACAGTGACGGCTTCTATATTCATTTCTGTCTTTAAATGCCTTAACTTGTCATTATGTGTGTTGTTGTAACATAATGCTACATAGAATCCAGGGTCTAGCTTTTCGGAACTCTCTTAGCGCTAAGATAGTCGTAAGTTAAAGTTAATGTATGACACTTACGACTATCTTAGTACTAAGAGAGCTTCGATGAGTTAATATTTAACGTCACATCGGCAATATTTCAGCCATATCGTGACGAGAACATGCGATATTAGAATGAAATATATGTATATTATAAAAAACCTGCCGACGAAGGACAGTAAAAATACTAGATAATCACAGCTATCAATATAAAACTAGCGAACAAAGCTAAAACATTCCAATTAAAGAAGACAATACAATGTAAAAATGGGCTATAGATCGCCAACAACTGAAGGTAGATCACCATACTAGAGACCATGGGGACTTACAGTGCCTTTGCTACCTGCATGGACCCTAGTTGGATTTACACCATCCCTTCAGCCATTGGCGACAGAAGAGAAATCTAGCCATAAATTAAAAACACACTTATTCTACGATTAAAAAGCAGGTACACTTAAATTGACTTTGAAAGTTTTGGGACTTACGTACCCCCTCAGGAGGACAATAATTTTACGCTACGTCAACCCCCTTTGAGGGTACAGCCACTAACAATCTCAGTTGCTAATCTAAACTACCAATAATAAAATATATACCTATTTACAAATCAGTCAACAAATCTAATTTTTTAAAAATGCAAGAATTAAATGAGAACTGACATTATTAAAAAGATCCTTCAGTGTTTTGGGATGTGAAATAGATATCCCTTGTGATGGAATATTCAATGCAGTCAAGCAAGACATGCTTGACTGTGATCCTTTCATCACAAGGGATACAAAACGGAGGATCTTCGCCTTTCAATAAATATTCATGAGTATATCTGGTATGGCCAATGCGACATCGTCGCATAATGACCTCCTCAAATCTGGACTGACAACCCAAGTAGGTGTAACCAATGTAGGGTTTTATTGCATGTAATTTATTAATACCTACTTGGGTGTCCCACTTCTTTTGCATTAGATCGCGGATGTATGTTCTAATGCTGGCTTTATAATCAGAGTATGGGATAAGAAGTGGTGTCACAGATTTGTTGAGGGCTGCCTTAGCAGCAATATCAGCCATGGTGTTCCCAGAAATGCCAACGTGGCTGGGTAACCAACAAAAGACGATGTCGCATTGGCCAGTAGCAAGTTCATTGTACAATTCAATAATTTCTAATAAAAGTGGATGTTTGCAAGAAAGATTTTTAATAGCCTGAAGACACGAAAGAGAATCTGAAAAGATGATATATTGTTTATATTTACGGTGTTTATTAATATATTTAAGAGCTGTTAAGATGGCGTTTGCTTCTGCTGTAAATATAGAGCTGTTATCCGGTATTCTAGAAGATATTGTTCGGGATCCAATAACAGTGGCACATGCCACTGCGCCACCATCCTTGGACCCATCTGTAAATAAGGATTTGTATGTAGTATATTTATTTCTTAATTGACTAAATTCTTGTTTATACTGTAATTCATTTGTTTCTGATTTTTTAAATGTAGTTAATGTTAGATCAACTTGTGGCCTAACCAATTGCCAAGGAGGAGAAGAAAGAAAACGGGAAGGAGCTATATGTTCTAGCTCAATGCCAGCAGCAGAAAGAAAAGGTTTCACTCTTATACCAAGAGGCGGAACAAGAGAAGGCTTATTGTTATACAGATCTTCATATAGTGGATTAAAGACACAGTTATATGCAGGGTTTGACTCATTGGAATAAAGTTTTGTAATATACTGTAAAGTTAATTTTATACGGCGTTGTGTAAGAGATGGCTCATCAGCCTCGACGTAGAGGCTGTCAACAGGTGAAGTTCTAAAGGAACCAAGACATAGTCTTAGACCTTGGTGGTGGACAGAATCTAAAAGTTTAAGATTACTGTTGCAGGCTCCACCATAAACGATGGAGCCATAATCAAGTTTGGAACGTACCAATGATCGATATAATTGTAGGAGGGTAGCTTGATCCCCTCCCCACTTAGAATTGGAAACGACTTTCAACAAGTCAAGTGCCTTCAAGCATTTAGTTTTAGGGACTTGATATGGGGAAGAAAAGTTAGATGCGAGTCAAAAATTAAACCCAAGAACTTGGCCTCCTTTACAACTTTGATGGGAGTGCCATTGAGAAACAGTTCCGGGTCTTTATGCGGTTTATATTTTCTACAAAAATGTATACAATTAGTTTTGGATTTAGAAAATTTAAAGCCGTTTTCAAGACACCATTTATGTATTTTATTTAAACACAGCTGCATTTGCCGTTCAATAGTATGCATATTCTTACCGCGACAAGAAATATTAAAATCATCCACAAAAAGTGATCCATCAATTGAATCGTTTAAAACCTTTGATAAACTGTTAATCTTGATGCTAAACAGTGTTACAGACAAAATACTGCCTTGTGGGACTCCCTGATCCTGATTATAATGGTCAGACAGGGTTGAACCCACTCGGACTTGAAATTGCCTGTTATTTAAAAAGTTGGATATAAAGTGAGGCAAACGGCCTCGTAATCCAAAGTCATGTAAATCTTTAAAATCCCATGTTTCCATGTTGTGTCGTATGCTTTTTCTAAATCGAAAAAGATCGACACTGCATGTTGTTTATTAATTATGGCATTTTTCACAAAAGATTCTAAGCGCACTAAATGATCGATGGTACTACGGTTTTTACGGAAACCACATTGTATATTAGTTATAAGGTTATTGGTTTCCAAGTACCAAACAAGTCGATTATTTATCATGCGTTCCATGGTCTTGCAAACACAGCTAGTTAATGAAATTGGCCTATAATTGGAAGGATCAGTATGATCACGTCCAGGTTTAGGGATGGGCACAATTATAGCATCGCGCCACGACGAAGGAAATTGTCCAGATGTCCAAATGTCATCAAAAATAGATAAGAGCGTCTCTAAACATGATTCAGGCAAGTGCTTCAGGAGTTGATAATGTATACCATCAGCTCCTGAAGCAGTATCGTGAGCTTGGTCAAGAGCAGTATGAAGCTCATGTATCGAAAAGGTTTCATTGTAGTCTTCCCCATTGTCTGAATTGAAATTAATAGATTTCTTTTCCTGCTGTCTTTGATATTTCTGGAATTCAGGTACATAGTTTGATGAGGAAGAATGTTTGGCCAAAGTTTCTCCAAGTTTATTTGCTATGTCAGATTTATCAGTTAATAATTCATCTCCATTTTTAGATGCTTAATGCTAGATTTAGAGCCCTTACCTTTATTTTCTGAATCATGTTCCACACCTTTGATATTGGCGTGCGCGAATTGATGTTTGAGACATAGTTTCGCCAAGATTGGCGTTTATTTTGTTTAAAAGTACGCCGTGCTTTGGCGTTTAAAATTCTAAATTTGTTTAAATTGTGGACCATAGGATGGCGATACGGAAATAATGTTCAGCTTTCTTCCGTGCCTTGCGAGCTTGTTTGCATTCAGCGTTAAACCATGGTTTATGTACATGAGGAACTGCAGAGGATTTGGGGATACACTTGTCAGCTATGTGTCTGAGCTCATCTGAAAAACATTTGATGGCATCAGGAAGATCATGAAAAAGTTCAGGTTTGAGTTTGTCAGCACAGAAAGTTTCATATAAAGGCCAGTTAGCCTTCTTAAAGTTCCATCTTGATGATGGAGGAACATCAGATGGATTCACGGGTTTGAGAATTGTTGGGAAATGGTCACTTCCACACAGGTCGTCGTGGACTGACCACTCAAATTCATTCAATAAGTCTGAGGTAGTAATCGATAAATCAAGAGCTGAATAAGTTCCTGTGCCAGGATGTAAATATGTGCTAGAACCGTCATTATAT